GGATTTAGTCGGCGGCGTGTTGCAAAAGGAACCAGTTGCAGATATGAGTAAGGAATGAAGCCAGTCAATCTCCATCCGCTTGCCCAGTTGCCCTACGCTTCTATGTTGTTTTGAAAATGTCCTGCCTTGAGACTCGGGTCCCACTCACGGTATAAAAGTGATATGACTGAAAATGATGGCTTTTGCTCGTATCGGTCTTCATTCCTCACTCGTATCTGCCATTAGTTCCTTTCTAACAGACAGGCCTCAAATTTTCCCCTTCCTCCCTTTGCTCCTCTCAGAGGCTGACCCTCAGTTTCTCGGAAGAGGAGCCTTTTGTAATTTTGCTATAAAGCACGATGTTAAAATAAAAATTGAAGATGATGTTATATTGTTCTGAAGTTGCGAAGATTTTTTTTTTCTGAAGTTTTGATTGAAGTATCATTTTTTTGGTTCGTGAAATTTTTAAAGGAATTTTTCCTGGTGTTTTTTGAAGGGGAGAATTTTCGGGATGGAATTTTTTTTTTAAAATTTGCTATGTGTCCTCTTTTTTTTTGCAGGTGGTATGTCGAAGCCGACACAGAAGCTGTCAAAAGAGGATGAGTTATTGCTTCAGGTAGTTTTTTAATTTTTTTTAATTTTTTTTCATTTTTTTTTGTTTCATTTTTCTTTTTATTTTTTTAGTTTTTGAGAGGGTCAATAGGCGAATGATTGGGCGTGAGGTAAGTGTTCTTGTGGGAGTAACAGTTATGCCTACCTCTACTAGAAAGCGGATTTGGATTACAAACTTCAGCCAGGTTTTTTAAAGGATTGTCAGCCGGTGCAAATTTCACAGCATTCTCGATGCCCTCAAAGTGTCGAAACAGAAAGACGATGCCTACCTGTTCAAAACCTCTGTGCTGAGGGCAGTGACGTGTGAATGCGAAACGTGATCACTGACGAATATTGAAGAGCAGTTACTACTGATTCTGATGCAGAGAGAGTGATGAAGCAAAGAATGCTTGAAGTGTCCCTTCTCGATCATACGAGAAGTCTGATGCTCGGCCAGTTCAGTGACTTGATAGAAACGAATAAAAAATATATTCATATAAACAATGAAAATGATTTTATCTTATATTTTGAAGGATTTTTCGGCAGCTGTATCGGCCAAAGGGAGTGCACTGTTTTATGGTAATTCAACGGTGATCGCTTTAGCACCGCTGTATCTTTTCTATGGAATACATCAGATGGAATTGGCCGATTCATGGATTGTTTGGTTGATTTCTGCGCTTGCTGCTTCCTATCTGATCAGTTTCGCGTACAAAAATGTTAAACACGTTTTGAAACATAAGTGAGTTAAGATTGCTTTTACTAAAGTTGAGGTTATTCTGACGAAATCTAGACGCACTGGGTTGCATTCGATTTTCTTCGTTTTCATGGAGCAATTGGGGGAAATTTTTTTTCGGAAAAGTTAAAATCTTGTTGATTCCGGCTAAAAATTTCAGGAAAAAAATTTTTTTCTGTTGAAGGAAATGAGGAAAACCCCTAGGATTGGGCAGTGGGAAAAAGAGGACAAGTTTTTCCTGGGCAGATGTGTGTTTATTTCTTTTTTTTATGTAATCATTATTTTTTATTTTCAGAATTGTTGTAAAACGAAGTGATGCGGTAACGCGTGAAATGAATC